CACCTCACGGGTCGCAGTATCATGCGCCCATTGTACATGGATTTCGAGAGGACCGACCCGAAGATCTCTCAGCTGGTGTCGTCGAACAGCAACTACACCACTCAACAGTACATGTTTGGTCCACGTCTCCTGGTCTCTCCAGTGACTTTGCCGAACGTCACTGAGTGGCCTGTGTATCTGCCGCAGACGGGAGAGAATAACACTAAGCCTTGGACGTACTGGTGGACGAATGAGTCGTATGCGGGAGGACAGGTCGTCAAGGTTCCTGCGCCCGTGCAGCATATCCCCGTGTTCCATCTGGGATCGCGTGAGGAGCTTCTGTCGGGTAATGTATTCTAGAGTCATTGATACTACATCAATGAAGTGGTAGAAATCAATGAGAGCAATTAAGACAATTTGAATAGTATTTCATCTTTAGGGGTGGGTTGTTAGGAGATGCGATGTGAAAAGATATAAGACAGGTAGAAGAATGTAACAAAAGGAAAGAGAGAACAGGGGACATCGTCGACGCCGTCAGGTAAGTGGCACGTGTCGCCTTTCCAGACTATAACAAGCCCGAACGTGTGTATTTCGTCTCAAATGCCAGTCCACCCCAGTCTGTCTCAGAATTTGCAATTTTTACTGCCCGTGAGAGTAAATGCCAAAACCGACACTACCTCCAAAGTACCAGAACAAACAATATTTATATGACACCGAACACGCGTCGATACGGGATATGTCAACACACATACTTGTTACAACATGATCACACTGGTTAACCGAGACCAGCAAAGTCAATTATTCCCCTCCTACTAGCGGTTTCTGCTCCACCGACTCAGATGACGCCGACTCATCCCAATCGCAGCGACAATGCTGTGCACGATAACGGAGAATAGCAGCGAGACTATTCGCCGTGGTAAGAGCCTGCAGCACCGCAGCTGTCCAGATCATTCCCATGAATGACGTCCCCGTCGTCGCTGAGACCCCATATCCACTGCCGGATTTATTGATCAACTTCACAAACTCGGTTGTGATGACGCTAGCAATAATGGAAGCTATCGCGAAGGTGAGAAGGCTCGCCTGCAGATATGACATAACATTAGCGACCCAAGACGCTTATTGGGGCTATACCTCAAAACTAACCAGATAGGCAAGAAACTCTATACTAGATGGCGGGATATCAAGATCGAAACTAGATGCCGGCCTCCCCGGGTACATGGGCGGCCTGCTATTTTCCGATGCCCGTGCACACACCACTGTCCAGATACGGATGCCAATGGATATAGCGGATGCGGTAGTTCCAAGGATCATGAGCAAGACCATGGCGGTGTTGGTGGGAGCTAATGCCTCGAAATCGTCTGTTATCCAGGACGGCCAGCTGTCTGGGGATAGACTGTCTGATGAGGTGCCCATGGCTTTTGTTATGGCCTCAGAAGGGTTGAAGGTGAACAGCACAGTGCGGTCGGAACAGTCAACGATCTCGTTTTTGGTTGATGTGGCATTGGTGGTCTCGTCTGACACGTATGTCTCCTTGTACCCGGTACAGTAGGACATGGTGTAGATGGAGAAGTAATCGGGAGCGCCTAGTCCGCCGGCTCCTCCTGTGTGTAACTTGAAGAGGGAATCAGTGTTGTAGGGTGGACTTCGAAACATGTTGACTTACCGTCAGAAGGTCTGCCTGCGGTAGGAACTGGCGTTGACTGCCGGCAAAGAGAGAAAGAATGCCTAGTAGAAAGGCAACGCAGGAGCCGATGCCGGGCATGAATATCTGGAGACAGCCCATGTTGGTGTCGTATCTAGTTAGGTCTCTGTTAGGCCAGTATATTAATGGGGACGAGGGGAAGTATGATTGCAGATATCCCTCTGCTGGATCAATAAAGCATCGACGAGTCTTTTCATGAGGCAATAAACACGATGTGAAGCACGAGTCATCCTTCAGAGTAAGGTGACACTGCAGGAAAAGAAGATCTTATACACCGTAGATAGCTGGCTTGTGGTTTCGCCTGCTATACTATAGACTATTATCCACTGCCGTCTTTGGCTCCCAGCCACCCAAATATGGGAATGTTTAGCCATGCCTCTGCCCTTGTTTCAGACGACGAAGGCGCATCATCAGTGAGCTAAGACATTGGTGAGTGCAGCCGTATACGGGCAGGTGTTACGTGGAGTCTTCATCGAAGGGAGTGAAAATATAACCGGATCCAATCCCAGCCACGCAGTTTTGTAGTCCTGTGTGATGGTATTGATGGGACTGTGATCATCTATCAGGAAGGGCACGTTGCGTATGATTCCGCTGTTAGTGCTGAATAGAGAGATGATCAGCATCAGCTATAGTCGATTCGCCCCAGACCCGATCTAATGGTACATTAGTATTCCTTTTTTCAGTGAATAGGTCACAAGACCGTTGAAGAGAGTCGAAGGTTACTCCCGAAGCCAGCCGAGAAGCATGGAAAGCTTATCCTGGGGCTAATTACCCGGGAGCTACATTCCCTGCACCACTGATTGGTATGCGAGAAGCACCCAAGTGCCTGGAAGCTTCATATATTCTCAGGTTACACAAAAATTCTCCAGATAGAGCCCAAGTATGTTGTTACAGAGTGAGAAACAGGTTTCGACGATTCATAACGTCGTTTGTGTGGTCGGTTTAAACTTCCGATTTGATGATGTTTCAGAGGTGGATGCCAGCAAAGCTGGTGACTAGAATTCTAGACAGACTGTACTTGGGGATTATGCTATTCGCTCAGTCGAGGCCATTTCTGAGACCATCTAGACAACCATTTCTGGATTATGAGCGCATAGATGGCTTTGATATTCAATGCAGAATTGGAGTGTTAGCCCCTAGGTCATACATTCTTTTATTTCGGTAAAACAGGTTTTCAGAGTTCGGATGTGGATGGATTATAACTATGTGATCTAGTCTATTTTGGTCTATCTTAGGTATATATCTACAGCAAAGCCCAGGATTAAAGCTATTTGCCTACGCCTCCTTGATATCGTCTTCAACCGGGGGCATCAAATCCATCACAGGGGCCAATTTACTCTTCTGCCGAAGACGGCCACCAAAGAGGTAGAACATCAATGGGATAGGGATCATCACCACGGCAATGCATCCTAGCAATGTTCCAGCCCATTGAATGCCCAAATTGTTGAACATTTGTCGCGTGAAGAGAGGAAAGACAGCACCCACCATGGATCGCATCATGGTATTGGCCGCAAACGCAGACGCCGCACTGCTTCATTAGCATGCAATCCGATGACTGCTTTGAAAGGTGGTGTGTAAAGGTACTTACAATTTTGAGTATGTGTCCAGAATATAGTTAAAGCACTGCATGAAGATGGAAGTCAAGCCAAAGCCGACAGCCACACCAGCAGCCGTGGGTGCCATCCAATGAATGTTACTGTTCCATCCAGTCCAACCGAACCTGTATCGCTTATCAGTATTTCAACCGGGTCCGACGTCGTACATCTGCATGAGGGAGAATCATACCAGAACAGCCCACCAGCGAATACCGCACCACCGACGATACAAGGGGGCAGACGCCATTCGGGCACCGCGACGTAATTATTAGCGGCCAACTTCCGCGAATATTGTCCTGACAAAGACAAAACAAACGTGCTACCCGCGATCTCACCGATGATGAGCCCAATGAAGGGCAACCCTGCAGTACCACCCGTCATGCCATAAGTACCTTCGAAGACGATAGGGTAAGCTTCCAGCAGCGCATAGGCCAATCCGTAGATGAAGGACATGTAGAGCGTGAGAAGAAACGCAATGGGTTCAGTGAACAGAATAAGGAACGGACGCGCCAGGTTCTTAGTAACCAATTCTTTAAAATCAATCTCCAACTCATCCTGGCGAGCGTGAATGCCCCAGTTCCGTGTCTGGCGCCGGAGAATGGCTGCCTTTTGAACCAGGATGATTGGGGCATAGGTCTCTGTAGTGAAGAACACTATCAAAGCGAGACAGAAGAACCCAACTATGGCAGGGACGTACAGCGTCCATCGCCAGCCAAGATAGCTTGACGCGGTGTATCCACCAATGAATGGAGCGGTGAAAGGACCGGTGAACACCGACATAGTGTACATGGCAATAGCGACACCACGTTGGTGATTGTTGAAGACGTCAGAGAGGCTGGCAGGCACCAGAGCAATAATACTGGCCGCACAAAAACCCGCAAAGAAACGGCACAGCATCAGGGTTTGGGTATCCTTGGCGGTGGCAGTGGCTATCATGAAGAGGTCGAAGCCGAACATTCCAAGCAACAGCGGCCATCGCCGGCCAAGCAACTCGGAACTAGGCGCCCACACTGTCGGGCCGGCCGAAAACCCTAGGACATACAGAGTTGTTCCCAGAGCCGCAACTTCTTCACCAAAGCCGAACTCTTTCTGGGCACCTGAAGCCGCGGTTGCAAACACCGCACTGCCGTAAGCGGTCACTAGGGCACAGGAGGTGAGAAGTGATCCAAGCATGACCCTATATGGCATCAGCTACCATCCATCTCTATAATAAGCCCGTCATGTGAGTTGTGCTGCTTTACCTCTTCTTCATGGGCCAGTTGTGGGGATGCATCGGATCATCCGCGCCTTCGAACTCGACCACATATGCCTCGGAGTCCGGTAGAGGCGGGGGATACGGCTTGCCTGCCCCAATAGGCAACCATTGGTCTTGCGGTATGCGACTTCCTCGAGATCCAACAGTCAGCTGTTGTTGGAGACGATAGGTGTTGATTCGCTCGAGCTCGATACTGTCATCGCCGGGTGGTCCGCCCCGCGAGTAGCGGCGACGGGATAGGGAGACACCGTCCGCTATGGACGAGTCGTCGTCTCCGGCTCGATCTGCATCATGATGGAGTCGATCCATGACCACGAACCACCTTCTACACTTTGGAGGGTAGGCAAAACGAGAGGCTTGAAATGGTCAAAGATTGGGGTCGGCTAGCGAACACGGGGTTCATACATGGTACTAATATTAAATAAAAATGATTATGGGCTCGTCGGCCCCAAAAAAGCCTGCAAATTTTCGCTGCTCATTTTTCTTTCTTTCACCCAGCTTTGGGCGGAAACCAAATGCTTTAGTGGGTCATCAAGGAAGAGCATCGGCCACTCAGCCCGAAGCGTTAGATCCACCGAGTCGGTGGATAGAGGATTCCCTGGGGCTGTCCCGGATAAGACGGAGCAGCCATGGCGCTATGCATATACGAACTGGTATAAGCCTTGATGCCGGACCATCAGATCGGCTAGGTAGCTATCAAAATGTGCCTGCAGGGGTCATAGATGGTAGACTTCTGTGCCCGCCCGGGAAGTAAAATCAGGCAACTTAAAATTCGGGCAGTGGCGTAGCCGAACGAAGTGGTCGGGAAGTCAAACCGGGCCTCCAAGCCATGGATTAGGCTCTCCAGAATTCGGACGCATATGATATGGCGTTATCGAACATTCCCAATCATCGGGGACTAGTCCCATTATACCGACCAGGAGAGCCGGGCCCAGCCCGAGACTTCTCGTCGGGATGGTTTCCGTCGCGAAAAGAAAAGATATAGGCGTGGAGGTAGGTATGAAAGACCAAGCCCAACCCATGCTTGTATTCTCGGTAATTGTCTGGCACTTACTACCTGTACATCTGGATCAATGTCAGTAAAAAAATCATCTGATGCCCACGTCAGACGGTCAAATGAAATGTTGGGGTTGAAATTGCGACACGATTGATTGTTGTTGCGATGCCGGCCGGCAGAACATAAAAGGGGGAAGTGCGGAACGAGTTCCGCTTCCGACCGGCAATCGGCATCGCACTGATTGTTTAAGTTGGAATATAATGGCGTGAAGAGCAACTGGATATAATTACTTTTGACTTTTGCCCACGGCCTCAAGTAGGCCACATTGGCTGATGGAACATGCAGTTCAAGTTGCGCACTCCGGAAATAAAATAAAATAAAAAAGCAATAAAATCCCATGACCTTGTTGATATGTGGAAGTTTCGATCACTGACAGAATAACTTAGTCCATGACTAGTAACAACAACTACTTAACTTGGTTGACTGGATGACTCCAATCATGGCATCAGAACAAGGATGATCGAACGTGCGATTTGAAGGATGATGAGAGCGTAGAAAACATGTCTGTGCGAATGATATGATAGGGAGATAATGACAAGACAACTACTAAGTAAGAGTGGTGGTCTCTTACCCCGCGGGGAATCCCAACCCCTCACCGGCCAGGAAATCAGATTCCGATCCATCCAGACAATAACAACACGCCGGGTAATGATCCCACGTCTTCTTTATTTTATCTGTTGCTGTCCTCCCCGCATCTTTGGTTGTCCCAAAGAAAGAGTCTAGATCAACTAAGTGTGTTAATATGATTACTGGTCTCCATCACGTTAACATCCTCGTCCCGGAAGGCACCCTCGACCGGGCGGAGGAGTTCTACACCAACACCCTGGGTCTGCCATCAGCTCCTGTTCCCCATCTACAGAAAGGAACCCTTCTATGGTAGGCCATTGGTGATCTCGCTTCGTAAAATGGGCCAGTCGTGGTTAATTAATCTGCCGTAGGTTCAATCTCACGCCGGATGGCAGTCAGCAGATTCATGTGGCCTTTGGCTCCAACAGCGATTTGCATTCCGACCGTCACGCTTGCCTGAAAGTCGGATCTCCGGACCATCTGTTGACCCTGCAGCAGCGTGTCTGGGAACATCACCAGAGAGGGGGCGCTGCTGCTCCGCTGCACGCAGACAAGCCGGGAGAGCAAAACTCGGGTATGTTATTCTTCTCGCTCTTGGTTCTCTTCTAGAAGCGGTGTTCCCCTGGACCAATGAGGCTCTATCCTGCTATATCGTTCGATTTGGTTTTACCCAAAGACCTGCTGACCTTGGCTTTCTCCATTGCAGGTGCCCAGGGCATCGAATATCCGAGTCGGTTTTTTGCCAGGGACTTTGCGGGTAACCGGCTGGAGTTTACCTTATGACAAGAATAAATGAGTTGAGACTTTCTGTTTTTCTAACAACCCGATAAGTGAAAGATGGAAATTCAGGGGAATAATGAGCGTGCATCTCCTAGGTCTTGCAGTTGGCCTCTTCACTGTACGCCCATGTAGACTCCTCAATTCGATACCTGTGTGGGTAGCCTGTTGTCGGCTATCAGAGATTCGATGAACGGGTGCGCAGACAAACTTTGGCCCAAGCGATATATCGATTTGCCTCCCAGTCAAGGCTATGTCATGGCGGTGATACATCGAAGATATGTAGTTCATCACGATACGATGGTTGTAGTATTGTCCCGGGCCTGGTGGAGGACACACCCATTTGTCCCTCTCGTAAGGGATGATGGATCGAGCTTACTGAAAGGCTGATCTGAAGGATTGGGGAATTGAGATTAACTCGGGAAATCTTTCTGGTGAACTAGTACACCGTACGGGGGTCGAGCAGAGTTGCTATATATGTTAGCAGGTCTTCCCCGGAAGAAGATTTATCAATGTTAGTCGTAGCTGAGTAGTACAATGATTCGATTTTCCGGCGTTGACGGCTGACGCCGCCCCTCGAGGGATCTGCAGTAATTACTTAGCAAGACTTGGTAGTTACAACGGAATAGATGGTTATTGTGCTCCCTGTCACTGTCACTGCCGACGGTGGAGCCTCGCTAAGGGTAAAGCGGGTACCGTAGTACGTGAGCAACATCCTTGCGCTATTGCGCCATGGCCGCTACACATTACAAGCCGATCCCCACAAAGAGGGTCCGTGTGTCAATGAGTCGATGCAGTTTATCTATTGCCAGGTACCCAGAGGGCACGAGCAAAGTTCTTCGAGCTGCCACTTCAGAGACGGCGAAAAGGAAAAGGCACTCGAATCAGCCATGCGTGCTTCCTCCGAGCGATCCTCCACCGATGCCATGGCCAGAGACGATTTTGGCACAACACCGCCCACACCGCACGAGGAGCAGCCCTTGCTGCGTCCCGATGCTGAAGCCCTCTGGAAGCCTCCAGTGGGCTTTGTCTGGATTCAACTAGGTTGGTTGTTTCTTGATCCATGAAAGGAGGGGGGCTAACACATTGCCAGCCATTATGTCGAATGTATTCCTGTCGGGTTTCGACGGCACCATCACTGCCTCAACCTATGCTGTGATCAGCTCCGAATTCAACGCAGCCAACACCGCCTCGTGGCTCACAACCTCCTACCTGATTACTAGTACCGCATTCCAGCCACTATATGGTCGCTTCTCAGACATTTTCGGACGCCGGACCTCCTTCTTTACAGCAACAATAACGTTCATGATCGGTTGCCTGGGTTGTGGGATTGCTAAGGATATCGTCTTTCTGAATCTGATGAGAGCGCTGACTGGCATTGGCGGTGGAGGTTTGATGACAATGGGTATGCACTCGCAAACCTCCCCATTCTTGCTTGTCAATCCCCCCCAGATGGGAGGCTAACGTTGTTCAGCTACTATAATCAACTCGGATCTCATTCCTTTCCGCCGTCGCGGAATGTATCAAGCCGTACAGAACGTCCTGCATGGATTCGGCTCCATCTGCGGCGCATCGTTCGGAGGAACCATTGTCGATTCAGTTGGATGGCGCTGGTGCTTTCTGTTACAAGTACCGGTCGGGTTTCTAGCTCTGGTCACTGGTCATCTTGTTTTGAATCTTCCAACGCAGGACAAGTTTGCCAGCGAAGGCAGGAGTTTGCGGACAATCTGGAAATACGTCGATTTATCTGGCGCTTGTGCTCTGATTGTTGGTCTTTCAACGCAGTTGGTCGGTCTTAGCTTGGGTGGAAACGAGCTCCCCTGGTCCAACGTGTGGGTGATCTTGTCATTTGTGGCAAGTTTAGTGTCACTGGGCCTTTTCGTACTCATTGAGGCGAGGACAACTGCAATTCCATTGATTCCCCCTCGAATGTTGAGAGGCGTTTTGCCTGTTGCTACGCAAATTGCCAATGTCTGTGTGGGAATGGCTGCTTATGCGGTGAGTGACCCTTATATCAGATACACCAGTTCGCTGCTGACTGCCAAAGTTCCTCTTCACGCTTCCATTGCTGTTTCAAGTAATTCTTTTGGATTCTCCTTCTAAGGCTGGTGCTCGACTTGCTGTACCATCTCTGGCTACCCCGATTGGTGGTGTGATCTCTGGCTACGTGATGTCGCGCTGGGGTAAACTGGCCTACCTGGTCCGCACAGGCTCGTTTCTCATGTGCATTGGCAACATACTTGTGATGCTTCTTCAGTTCAACGACGCAGAGTGGAAGTACTACGTGGCCATGATCCCCGCCAGTCTTGGCCAAGGCATCACTTACCCAGGCATTTTGTTCACGTTTCTTGCCGCATTCGATCACGCCGGTATGGGCATTTTGCCGCCACTTCCATTTCCTTTGACGAAGGGAAGCTTCTGAATAAACAGTTAAACTGACTAATCTTGTAAGACCACGCCGTTTCAGCGTCCACCGTCTATCTGGTCCGTTCGATGGGTACGGTGTGGGGCGTCGCCATTACGTCCACTATCATCCAGAACACCTTGCGCTCAGGCCTCGCTGAGGCCTTGAGTGGAATACCTGACAAATGGAAAGTAACTCTCCTCCCTATGGACCTACTAATACCCTGAAACAATAGCTGATCAGTATTATGCTACTCGCACAGGTTATCAATGACATCAGACATTCAGTGTCTGCCATCCATAGTCTGCCGCCAGAAATCCAGCTGGCGGCGCGGATGGTCTACTACCGGGGCATACGACTGTCATTCTTGGCGTCAGCCTGTTTTGGATTCGTTGCTGCTACCGCAGCACTCTTCACTCGCGGAAAGGGCCTTCATCGCTCCAGCGAGGCGTAGATCATGCGTACGTCGCACACGGATTCCCTGAACCAATAAGCCGTCTGGACCGCGGTTCCAGTACCTGGATGAGATGCGGGGCCGAAGTGGCGACTGTCGGAGAAGGTAGGTCTGGTGGAAAAATGACCGCCAGCTTGGATATTGGGGACGCGGCTTCGCAATCTTAGAACTAGACAGATGTCAATTAGCTCACGAGAGAAGGGGCCAGGAGCTTTTTGTTTGGAACCACCCATACGGGATGGTCTTTTTGGACGTGCCAGACAGCTGACTGGTTATGAATGAGACGTCCAATCGCAGAAAAAGCAGACTTGAATAAATACACTCTTTTTGGATTCCAGTGCAATCATGCCCTCTAATTACCCGCTTCGGCTTGAGTTCTAGATGTTCAGTCTATCCCATGCGCCCAGCAGGATCCTTTCCGCAATGCGGAGAAAGCCCCGTCTACCGAGGAAAGCTAATCTGGGGCAGCTCCCATTTCATGGTCACCGCAGTGAAACACCAATAGAAGCCATCAACGCCAAAATCTCTCTGCCTGGATATTGCGGGGAAGCTACCATCCTGACAGCCCTGGCGGCGAGTCTGGAGATATAGGGAAAACTCCACGACGCTATAGCATCGTTAGCCGCATTTTCCCCCGCACGATCGTCGACGATCACCTCCAGTTCATGAACAATTCCGCCTTAGTTCCGCTATGATGAACGTCCCTAACCTTAATCCGGAGATGGTCTTGCTTTTATCTCCCTCTTGGTTGGACGGGACGTGATAACAGGTCTCGGAATTCGATAAGCGTTCCGGGATATCTTGGGTATCAGTCATCAGTCATCCGTATCGGGCTTGGATGAATAGATTGATTCAAGGAAAATCAGTCTCCACCGCTTTGATCTTATCGACCTGGGATGCTTATCGTAATCGGGGCTTACATCTGTCAAGGTCCCTTCTGGGGACGCGGAGCTAGGTCCATCATCGTAGGAAGGATTCATAAGATGGATGTTCCTCCACTCGAAGCATATTGATTCCGCAGTGCCTCATCACACGGCAGACAACATAAGAGGCCATGGATTCGGACAATACCAAGGTCTCACCCCTCAAACCCGGGTATGCCGCATCGGCAGACCCTGAAGTCGACATGGACAAGGGGCAGGTTGCCCTTACAGGCATCCCGGACATGCACCTGAAGCGAAATTTCAGCATAGTCAGTATAATCGCCCTGGGGTATAATAATACGAATAGCTGGGTGGCCATAGCAACGAGCTTCGCTATCGCAATTCAGTCGGGTGGCGCAGTCTCCCTACTGTATGGCATTCTACTGGTTACTGCTGCCATGTTCTGTACGGGGGTGACCTTGGCAGAACTGGCCAGCGTGTACCCCACTGCTGGTGGCCAGTACCATTTTACTTCCATCCTGGCATCTAAGCGATGGAGCCGTGGCCTGTCTTACTTCAGTGGCATGGCTGCAGTGTTTGCATGGGTTACCCTTGGGGCCTCTATTGCGCTGGCCGGAACAGAGGCGCTCATGGCTATTGTCATCCGATGGCAGCCCTCATATGAAGCCCAAAGCTGGCACTATTTCTTAGTATACCAACTGCTGAACGCAGTCATGGTCATCTACAACATCTTCCTCACCAACAAGACTCTCTGGGTCTATAACTTAGGCTGTTAGTTTGCTCCCTTCCAATTCACAGAAGACAATACTAATGCGCTGCTTCTTCTGCAGTCATTCTGTCCATTTCTACCTTCCTAGCTATTATCATAACCTGCCCGGTACGCTCTTCCGCACATATCAACACCTCGAACACTTGGAGGCAGTTCGTCAACGGTTCAGGCGGCTGGCCGGACGGCTTATCCTTCTTGACAGGACTCTCAACGCCTCAGTTCATGTTTTCCGGACTCGACGCTGCACTCCACCTTGCAGAGGAATGTCTCGAGCCGGCACGCATCGTACCAAAGGCGTTGCTTGCCACAGTGACAGTGGGGCTTTTGACGGGATTCCCCTTTGCCATCGCCATCCTATACAGCTATGACAACATCGAAGCATCTCTAACCACCTCCACGGGGTACGTATACCACCGGTCCTGAATAAGAAAAGTTACTTACCAGAAACCGACAGATTTCCAATCTACTTCATCTGGGAAAAAGCCACTCACTCCCCAACAGCTGCGACAGTCTTCATGGCTGCACTGTTTGTCGTCTCCTTCGTCGCGCTCAACGCAGTCCATCAGACTGCCTCTCGACTTACATGGTCCTTTGCCCGCGATGACGCTCTATTCTTTTCCTCCTTTCTCTCCTCTATACACCCTACACTCGGAGTCCCCGTCTGGGCCATTATACTTGATGGTGCGGCAGTGCTTCTGGTCGGGATAGTCTATGTCTGCTCAACAACAGGTGAGCCTTCCTTTACTTACACATACCGGGATAAAAGATAAATAGAGCTTTGTTCTAACACATAACAACAATAGCATTCAACGCCTTCATCAGCACCACGGTCGTGGTAGCCCAAATCTCCTACGCCATCCCAGCAGTTCTTCTTCTCGTTGGCGGGCGGAATCCGCATTACCTTCCTCCAGATCGCCCATTTAAGGTTCCCAACATGCTAGGCTACGCTTGCAACATTGTCTGCGTTATCTGGGCTTTCATTCTGACGATCTTCTTTTGCTTTCCGACGGAGTTTCCCGTTACGGGGAGTAACATGAGTACGTGTTTCTTCTATTTTCCTACTATCTATCTGCTTTGTGATGAGAAGTATGCTTTACTGACACTTGCAAATTGCTTAGATTACGCTTCTGTCGTGCTAGTCGTCATGTTGATCTTGGGCGTAGGGAACTGGTTTGCTTATGCGAAAAGACATTATCACGGGCCACGCTTGGATATCTAGTTTACTATCTTGTACTTGACTTGACTGATGATTGATGAGACACAATTACTATATGGTTTTTTTTCACTGAAGTATAACAGTATATGATAGATCGCCTTCGTAACCGCTGATTTCAAAGCAGAACCAATGTTATACAAACTCATCCATACTTCACATCTGCCTCTATTGTCATTCGCATTATGAGGCATCTAGCTAGATAATTTCACAGGCGCATGATAGCGACATTCACCCCGTCGGAACGATTCCGAGCCCCAACCGTCCGGTAAGTGGGGTGAAAGGATCATTGGATGGGTTTTGATAATTCGTTGGATAGTACTAATTTCCGGCCGATTTGATCCAATCGATTCTGATCAGATAAGTAGATAACGGTTTAGATCATCGTGCTGTTTACTATTGCCGTGAGCACGGGGTTATTACTATCGCTTATCGATCTCCAGGTGGGAATGATTGAAGAATTAAGGAAAGTACATTTTATTACTATTTTTGGACTGGCACAACTGCGGGCATAGTTCCCTAAATTGGTAGTCTTGATACCTGATACGGGCGCCGCTGCTTTTGTGGGGGTATTACTAATCCTCATCGTGATAAGAAGTATATATGGAATAGATAGTATAAAGGTTACAGAGTAATCATATGTGACTGATAATATTTATAACCAGGTTGAACACATTCTAGACTCGTATACTGTTGGAAGCTATAAAAAAAAAAAAAAAAAAAAAAAAAAAAAAAAAAAGAGAGAGAGAGATCGAATTAGTAGCAATGTATGTTATTAACTAGATTTTATAGCTTAACACAAATATCCTTGCATAACACCGTCCACGCACCACCTCGGGCTCCTATAGACTACATATGAACACCGACATAGCACTTAGTATTACAAGATCAACACATTTCACATCATACTAAGAGTGTTAACATCACAGATACATGGACCGGCTCCTTCCTGTTTCCAAAATCTCTCATGGAACAATGCTAGTAAGCATATCTTGACTATTTTCGTTTTCTACCTCTTGGATTCATGATGGATTTCCCCACCGTTTCCACTGCGAGTGTATAACAGCCCTTATGGGCTCCCTTTTAATTATCAAATGATGCTAATATCAAGTCTCTACCTATAAAACTACAGTGCTCATCGCTTCGAAAGTGAAGGGTCTGAACACCTTAGCTAGTCACATCCAACTAAAGCAGCTAGATTGATTCCTAGCAGACAACCAGGACCATCACTGGTCCATCTGACCGAAATGCATCATTATCTCCGCATTGCCCCTCCGGATAAGAATCCTCCATCCTTATCAGGTGAAGGAAACATTTGCCATTGGGAAGCTAGACCGATATGCAGCATTGATAACCCATTATGCAAGTCCACAACTCAGGCCTTGTGCAGATTGGCTTGGACTACACTCTACATCTCTTGGCTCAGATGGTGTATATTAATGGGACGATTCTCGGTTCGTGGGTGGCTAATTTACAATAGGAATCGCACAATACGAGAGACACCATGGATTACGAGACGAAACACGACGATGGCGACAAGACGTATTCCGGATTGCGTCCGTCGATGTCCGTTGAAGAAGGTCAAGTCAATTATGGAGAGACAACCAATGGCGGCCTCCATCGCACGCTCAGTCCACGTATGGTCCATGTATGTAGTGTACCACCATCTGTTCAATTGCAGATAATCCCATCAGAGAACCCGAGCATCATGAGTAACAAACAAAGGTCATCTCTCTTGGATCCAGCATTGGTAGTGGTCTTTTCATCACGACGGGTAAATCCCTAGCCCAATGAGGTCCAGCTAATATGTTTCTGGCGTATCTCGTGGTTTGTGTCGGCGTATGAGCGAATCTGCAAACCTTGACAGAGATGACGATTGCTTTCCCGACATCAGGGAATTATATCGATTATGCGGATCGGTGGGTTGATCCAGCATTGGCCTTTGGGGCTGGATTTGCAGAGTGGCTTGGTGAGTTGGCCAGCCGTGGCTCTTTACCTTGTTACGAATCCAGATAGGTTACGATCAAGCTGACGAGCATCGCAACGATACAGGGTGGACGTCGGTATTTGCATCCGAAGCCATGTTTGTAGTTACTCTGGTGAATTATTGGGCGGACGGGGTTGTGCCCGAGGCTGCTTTGCGTGAGTCTGCCACATGCTTTTGGTCTTTTTCTTCTGGAAGGACCGGCAATAAGCTAACTATAAGTAGTGACTATTTTCCTGGTACTTTGCCTTGGCGTGTTCCTCTTGCCAACCGGCATCTTCGGATGGCTGGAATAAATCGGATCCCTGGTCAAGATGTTCTTATTCGTTTTCGTTACAGCCATTTCTCTAGCTGTGATCGCAGGCGCCGGTCCGTCCGGATATGTTCGACATGGAAGCACCTGGCTACCCCTCCCAGATAGATATGTTCTTCGTGTTGAACTGACACAACTATGCAGGGCTTCTCCACCGCTACATTACTTGCCATCTGGGCCGTGGGAGACCAGGTCTTTATTGGCGTGATGGCCGGCGAGGCCGAATCTCCCCACTATTCCATGGCACGCTCGGCCAATTTCGTTCCTTGGCGCGTGGGGATTTTCTACCTTGTCTCGGTGGTATTAATCTCACTTGTAGTGGACTCTGATGATTCCCGGTTAATGAATGGCTCGAGCGTGGTCTCCTCGCCTTTCGTCATAGCTGCTCAAGATGCGGGTATCTCGGGGGTCCCGGACCTGATTAATGCCTGCATCATACTCGGCATTCTTGCCCTTTCTCTGGAGTGTATATACCTTCCATCACGGATCTTACGCACTATGTCGCTGCAGGGACTGTTGCCGGTCTTCATTGCGAAGGTCGACAGAATAGGCCGTCCGAGATGGGCGCTCACATTGACGGCCGTTGCAGGAACAGTGTTGACTTATCTGAGCTTGAGCGGTATGGGACTCCCCAAGGTTCACCCCTATTCTCTTGGAAACTGACTGGTGTTGGCTGCAGCCGACGGCACCGAGGTCCTGAACTGGTTCATCTCGATCACCAGCGCATCCTTCTTCACCAACTGGGCGATCATCGCCTTTTCCTCCTTCCGCTTCCGGGCGGCGATTAGAGCGCAGAGAAGCCAATTGTTTGAAGCCCCTTATGCATGGCGGTCTCTTTATTGGCCTCTGGCGCCTGTAATTAGTCTTTTCGTTTCGGCGTTGCTACTAGTATGCCTTCTTTACACCAGCATCAAGCCAGTAGTGAGTCTCACTTCCTTGGAACTTTTATCATAGCGAAAGGCCATGCTCTGCATTCGAGCCCACGGGCCCAGCATATTACTGATCACGTTCACTAGGGCGGGGGTGCTTTTACAGCATATAGCTTCTTTTCAGCGACGATTGGTCTAATCGTTATTATAGTGTTCACCATTGGCTACAAGATCGTGCATAGAACACCATGGAGGGATCCAGCGACTGCAGATCTCATCACGGGGCATCGGGAGCTGACTGCGGCGGAGTTGCGGTTTCTGGATGCATATTACGAGCGACCGCTGTGGTGGAGATTGGGGACATATCTACGAATATGTTGAACAAGTAACCAGTCTAGACAGGGCTTGGAGAAATGAGGGATTTAGAATGATCTGATCATGCTTGGTGATGGGGGTTAGGGGACAGTAGGCTCGGCGATTGGACCAATCAGTTGTGCAGGACTCTGCTTCAACGCCGACGCCGAGGATGTATGAGTGATGTAGTACAATTTCAAGACATCAAGCTTGTTTCCACCAGTATAATATTGGGAATACTCTAGGAGTAAAGATACGTTATCATGTTTGTCGTACATTCCAGATCATATATTGCGGCGTCAAGTAGAATGTTTACCCCGCATCGTCTTATCACTTCTAATGAGTATCTCCAAATGCCAAGGCAGGTCGGACCAGACAATGAACTGCCTATATGAGCAGTCAAGTAAACCAAGGGATTTGTGGTAGATTCCAAGTCAAACTATAGAGCATACCTATCCTCTCATTCAGGTTAGAAAGATCAGTCATGTTCCCAAGCTACTTCAGTGCCAGCGTAGCCTTAGTCCTACTGTTTTTGGCATGGCTCCTGAGAAAGAAAAGGGAAGTCCAGGAGCCTTCACAAGCAGGGAAGAAGACCACCAGCTCCTCTCTGATATCTACATCTCCCATTGAACCACTCAACGACTTCCAGTGGGACAAAACCGAGCCTCTAATCCTCCGACCTTTCAAGCCTCGCTACCATATCACAATGGGCAAGTCAACCCACTCTATCCTCCAACAACTACCAACCCTAACCCACAACACCTCACCAAACCGTATGGCATAGGCTACATCTAACTAACAAATAAAACCAGGCATCGAGCGAGCAAGCCTCTCCGAACTGATCCAAATCGACAAACACTACCTCTCCCGCATTACACTCCGCACGAAACTAATCCAAGACAAACGAGCCTCCGTCCTCGGCGCCAGTCCCCGCTCCATCCCAGCCGTTAAAGAACTATACTATTTCCTGATGAATGACTACCTGCCTCAACGATACAGCACTATCTTCCAACGTGTCTCTACTACCACTAGCACTTCAGCATCAGCACCCACCACCAGCATGCTAAGAAACACAGTAACCGGCGAAACCATCCCCACTACACCCCCAACCGACGCAAAAGAAGCCCTCGCCATCATCGGCAGGCAGGTGGAGGAGGACTTCCTCCTTCTTTTGCCACCACAGCCCTCTTCTATACAAGATGATGACAAGAAGGAAGGTACTAACAAACAGATGACCCTCGAAGCCTTCATCGGCTGTTTTCCAAATGGGTTCAACTGGGCAGAGAAGTTTCGCAAATCGCTGGCGAATATTCATGTTCCCGTACCTGACTATACTACCAAGTTGCGGGCGAGTATGGATAGGTATCTTGAGAGGTTAAAGGTGGGGGAGTGTGTGAAGAGGGCGAATGTTTGTGGCACTGCTTTCCTTTTGCTCGTTCGTTTATTTCAATGATAGTTCCGTAACCTTTGCAATGTTTAGGTGATGGTGCTAACGTGACTCCATTTCTGGATAGTGGACCGTGTCCGTGGACGGGGTGCTGCATGCTGCCAGCAGTATGCACTTGTATGAAGGGGAGGAAGTAGTCGAGTTGGAGGAGCTGGATGTGGATACGGTATGTTTTTGCTTCCTTCCTCTTCTTTACTTCTCTTCAATCTCCTTTGCGCGGAATGATTGTCAGGGTAGAATACATTAAGTAACGAGAAATGACATTGCAGGCACGATTACGCTGCGAAAGACAGATGCTATTTCGACTTCCCATTTCAAATGCCGTGGTATTCGTGGTCCGCACATATATGTACCCGTTGCAGGACATCAAGAAGGAAGGCAATGGGCCGAGGTTAGTAGAGGCGATAGCAGGGTTGAAGGAGGGCAGTTCGCCGGGTTTCCACTTCTACAAGCGCGCTGCGGTGTGGCAGAAGGCTGTGAGCGAGTACTTACTGGATGGGGAACTGGAGGTGGTTGTTGCGGTATGATCTGCGATAGGGGAGTCCCTTGAAGCTTTTGGAAGTTGTCATGGGACGCAGTCTGTTATTTAATGAGATTATTTCATTGTGGCCTTTTCATCTCTCACTGTATAGATATTCCAAGCTTGAACGATAGAAATCTGTGAATGAGGTAGGTCTATGCACAAGACCCATTGATAGAGACAAATAAATACGCCGTTCGGTTTGAAAATTAGCAAAACGCTGCCAAAAAAGACCGCAGAACAATACTGTAACGTTATGGACGAATTTACCTGTCTCTCGATTTGAAGCTAGTCATCTATTCTATCACAATTCTTGCCTCCTTTCACTTGCGACATCTACTTAACCATCATGTACAAATAGCTATTGCAAGAGCAGCGGTGTACAACTTAAAATCTTAACTATTGTATGTCGTTGGGACTTGTCTCTGCAGTTATAGAAGCAATATACCGTCCATTGAGTCTAGCGGTCAACAACATTGACAGATTGCATATAACCACACCATGGACACCACACAACTGACTAGTCACTATATAACATATGTATGTATGTATAGTAGTATATATATGTCACTCCCGATCATCATGCTCTCTGTATCAACACTAGTCATTGCCCCTTTACGCAACCCATCCCTGCTTTGAAACCATGGCCGAATACTATCAACCAGTCTCCAGATTATTCCTCCTGAGCATCACCCAGAACCTGATCCCCAAATCCTAGCAATCACCACCCCAAAAGGCTCACCCCTGCGCTACTTATGCATACCAGTCATGATATGGATCTTGAGCTTGGTGCTCCACCCAGTCAAAAACCCATGGCATGTAACATCCCTATTCGCTACCACCGCTTGGTTCAACATTCTCTCAGCCCTGGATCTGCTGCTACTCAACCCCAAAGAAGCCGATAACTTTGTCACCATCAACAAGGGAACAAGCAGAGTCAAAGTCAAGAGCTTCTTCTATGGCTTACGAACCGCCCTGAAACTGCGCGTTAACTCCCGGAAAATCAACACGCCCGAGGAAGCAAAGAACACGCCTCCCATGCCGGGATATTACACCCAGGGGAATGGCAGGGATGCATCAAAGGCTATCTCCCGACGCCGGTACCTGATTCGCGAGACGGTGATTGCGATGTGGCAATATCTGGTTCTGGATATTTCGACTTCACAAGCTGTTAAGACAGGCTTGAGCAGAAATGAAGAGCCGCAGCCGCAGCCGCAAAGTACCTTTGTTGAAGGCTCCTGGGTAGCGCTATGGATAGAACAAACCATCGTGGCCATAGTCGCTTGGTTCATTGTAGGACGCATCGTGATCGGCTTCAACTATCGTTTAGTTGCGGTAGTCGGTGTCGGTTTGCGGCTTGAAGCACCTGAAGGGTTTCCACCGTAATTCAATAGAATGGCTGATGCTTATACGTTACGGAACTTCTGGGGGTGGGTGGCTCTTTCATCTCTTTTTTTCTAAAAAGGAAATAATATATATATCATCCAGTATACACATACTAACACCCATTCGAACAGAAAATTCTGGCATCAAATGCTCCGCATTAAATTCACTGCCATAAGCAACTACATCACTCGTGATGTTCTTGGACTGGCCAAATCATCACTCTTGGAGCGATATACCAATGTGTTTTGTGTGTTTCTCCTATCGGGTATCCTACACCTTGTTGCGGACGTGGTAGGGAATATACCGAAGGGCAAGTCTCGCGCTATGGTGTTTTTCTTATCATTTGTGTTTGGGTACATGGTTGAAGATGGTGTCCAGGCTGCGTGGAAGAAAAGATTTCCGGGTTCATCAACCTCGGAGGCGGGTAGTAGTACTAATAGTCAAAAAGAGCCAGCGATCTTGGAAAAGGTGCTTGGGTGTATCTGGGTTTTGGCTTTTCTGACGGTCACGTCGGCGGTGTATTTCGAGCCGGGGCGAAAGAGGCCGGAGAGGCATGTGGCTCTGGTTCCTTGGAGATTTGTGGATGTTGTTGAGCTTGAGGTGATGGGGGCGTTTGTTGTTGTGGGGGGAGTGCTCTTGATGGTGGTTTTTAGGGTTGAGGTATGATATACCAGTTTGATGATAGAGTGTACTTTTTAGTAGAGATTATGAAGATATTATTGGTACTACGCCTAGACCACCAAAGTATTAGGATGATACATAGTATCTCCCTTTTTTTCATTTGAGGTTAATATGTTCATCTACTACTTGCTCCTAATACTGCCAGGTACTACCGTGTGAAGAATATACCCGAGCGAGCTTTCCCGAAGCTTTTATACTGGCATTCTGTTTAATGATATGAATGAAACATTACTGTGCTTCATTCGTCTACCTACTCTATCCAGGTGCACATCTATGATCACACTGACAGCTTTGTATATATCTATTGTTTGCATAGATAGCTACCTACCTAGCAGAGGAATTAAAAGTTACGTCAAGTGCGAAAACCTCGATCTACTTACGTACAACGAAATAGTGATCTACTCCTGCAGGGCCTCGTGGATGTAGGCAGCCAGCCACTCAGCTCGTCCCAGGAGGATCGGGACAGCGCATTAGTAGTTATAAGGCTGCCTAGCCCAAACCCGCTCTGCCAGACCGAACGGTACCACCAATCGGAGAGACCGTTATTGGTTGGACTCTCCTGGCGGTGGGCTTGGCTTTGGGTTCAAGCTCAGACGGAAAGGGAACTAGAGTCGCAGGTGCCCCCTAGGCATGACAGCTGCAGATTTTTGCCAAGATGTCCTGGATTTTGCTTTCATCAAAGGTAAATGCTTCAGATGCAGTCTACACTGTGTATCACTTTGTGGGGGGGGTACCATGCACAGATGATGGGACATATCACAGATGATGGCATTTACTGGGGTAGCCGATGCAGCAAGAGGGGGAAATTTCACAGGTCATCAATTAAGAAAAGCGCCATGGAGCAAGGAGGATGATTCACCTCCCTCCCCGTTCCAAGCACCACCCCCGGGTTCCTAAGCACATATATCCGGGATCACCATAATGAACAAAAAAGAAATTAAAAAGAAAAAGAGCATTCCCATGGGGGCACGAAGGAAGACAACAGTAACGCGATGGGTAGATTAACAAGAAAATAGACAAAAACCGCGTAGCAACTGCAGCTGTCACAGCAGCGCTTCCCGGCGCCCCTGGACTCGACCGGTCTAGTGTAGCACGCGATGAAAGGGGAATTTATCGTATCGTCGAGGTCGTATATCGATCGTGAGAGCTCGGTTGGTCGCGCAGCCCTCGCTACATTCGAGGTAGCACCCGTAATCGATCACAGCTTAACACATTTCACAGCACTCGATGCACTCAAAGCAGCATTCGCAGGATTCCTCACACAGGAAGCAGCAGCAGAGCGTGGCCAGGCTAGATGGTAAAAACGGTCCGATAAGTAAGATGCGGTGCGACAAAATTCAGCAAGGGTGAGGCCTACCAGGCACCGAGACATCCGCGGTCCTTCTGCTGGGGAGGAGGCTGCTGCTGGTATTGCATCTGTTGTCCGGTCAGAGTCCGATCGCATGACTGAATATAGCACTGGTATCACATACTGGAGGGTAGGGCTGCTGGGGGTATCCCTGGGGAGGATAACCACCCTGCGGAGGCGGATAGCCCTGGGGAGGGTACCTGTGCGGAGACCAAGTCAGAACAATGCGCAAATCCGGGGTGTGATCTAAGGAGACATTCTGCGACCGCTGGCCAGCCCAGGAAGAAAATGACCAATGTCAAAAGGCTTGGTGATAAGCCAGCTTCGAGATGGGTTCCTGAACCAACAAGCCGCGGTCGCTTTGAATCCGAATGGCCGGTGCAAAAACCACGGGAGATCGGGCGCAATGGAGGGCGGAAGACTTACGCCTGGGGCGGGGGAGGAGGGCCGTTGTAGTATCCGGGAGCGCTCATTGTGAAGGGAAAGAGTCTGTGTGTAGGAATAAAAGATAGGACTGGGTCAGCGTGGTGAACTTGGCAGTTGACAGTAGCGGGTGGAAGAAAGAGAAAGAGGATGAGTGAGTGGACGGAGTGAGTGGATGGAGGACGAGAGCCCAGCCTTGCGTTGGCCAATTAAAGGGAAATAAGCGTACCTAAGACAACGCCGAGTTCTAAACGGAGTCGATGGAAAGCGGAAAGGTAAGAAAGGGGGGGAAGAGGAAGAGGGAAGAAGAGCAGGAAAAGGAACGATCGCTAGGGGTAGGAAAGGCGAAAGGAGGCGGAGAAAGAGGAGAAGATCGCTGAGCCGCCGTTCACCTTTAAGGTTTTGGTTGGTGGATGAGAGAGAAAGGAAGAAAGACAGTCAGACAGACACAAGACACACGAGACAGACAGACGGAGAAGCAGAGAGAGACTTAAGTGCTGTACTTAAAAAGAAAATTACACTCCATTCACTCCCCTGCTCTTCTTCTCGTAACATACCTTACAGCAATCAAGGTCCCACGAGCCAATAGTGAAGCAGTAGTGCAATCCTGTTTACGCCCCCACCCCCAACTAGAAGGACGCCAGAAAATCCTACTTAGCCGCCCATGCCTACCCAGCCTGAAACAGGGAAAAGCAGCCGATGAGTGACTGAGAGAAAGAATGGCATATTGTTAATATTGAATCCGAAACAAGTGCTATCTAAAGCTAAGTGATCATCTGTCGTTATTCCTTCAAAAGTGCAGAGAAGAAAGAGGAAAAGAGAGAGAGAGAGAGAGAGAGCCAGCTCTCCCTCTCCGACCGAAGGGGACCGTCAGCCCATAATTACAATACATACATACAAGTCTCATACGCAGCACCGCCCAGACTCAGCCACATTAGCGCAGCCCTACAGGACCCAGTTACCGTCAGGCACCAGCCACGACGGTTCCTGCTATGATTGATTTGGGGAATTTGTCCTGGGAACAACTGTCGGACACCCCTTCAGCGGTCGGGGGCCAGCACTGTATGCCTACCAATCACCGCCCTGGTGTTCGGGGTTGCGCCCCACTGCCATCACCCACGGGCGATGGCTCAGGGAATGAAAGGTTAGTTGTCAGCCAACCGTCGTCGGCCGGCCGAAGGATCGCCGCCATCATTGGCAGGAGGGATGCCCTGCAGTTCCACTGTATGCCCCGGCGCTCATGAGACCCCTAAAATTGCGCCCAATCACTGCGCCCAACTTCGTGGCAGTCGGGTGCCGGCACAAAGCCACGCCCGGCGTCACCGCCTACCTGCACCGCCTACCTTACGGTCACCGCCCGTGGCATCTTCGGGCAGGGTCCCTGCGCATCTTAGTATCCTTTAGCAAGAGTAGGCTGCAGTTACCAAAATAGGTCCTGCAAAGTTGGCAGTGGTCTTCCCCATCATACCCTAGTCCCGAGTCTTGTACTCGGGGGGACCGTGGCTTTCATGCACGACGTGCATCAAATCAATATATTTCACGAATCTGAGACTTGCTGATTGACTGCTCATCATCACACATTATGTCGTAGCGCCCATCAGGGGCATCACCAGGTCGGCTTGGTCGACCCTCTGGAGTCCGAAGAATGAAGAGAAGAGAAGATAGAAGATAGAAGAATCACTGAAAGAAGAAAGAGAAAGAAGAAGGGGTAGAAAAAAAAGAAAAAAAAAAAAAAAAGTGAGAAAATGTAGGAAAAGAATTAGAAGAAGAAATATTAAGAACAGGAAAAAAGAAAAGGGAAAAGAGAAAAGAGAAGAAAAGCAAAGCCAGTGAGAATTTATCACACGAAATATAGGCGAAAAGTGCAATGTGAAGAATATGGAAACAGCCCCAAAAATCCAAGGTTCAAGATGTATAGTATCAACAAGAAACCCATGAGTAACCAAAGATCTAGTCTCGAGCCCCTCAGGGGAGGTAAATGAGAATGCCATCAGCCGCTGGGCTGAGGTTTATACAGTCACACATACGAATCGATCTCAGGTGGTAACGTCTGAGAATCGAAGTAACAGGGAGTAGCATCCATCGATGGGTCCATGACCATCGTCGGCATCGCAGTGAAGGACTCATATCCGTTCACTAATGTCGAATCCATACCATGGGAAGAGATGTCTTCGACCGACGTCTGAGGCAATCCAGAGAACGCAATGTCCTCGGAGGCCGCAGCCGGAGCAGCCGCCATGTCATCGCCTAGCGCATCCTGGTCAATATAGTTCTGGGCATTTTCGAGGACGATCTCCTCTTTCTGCACCATCCAATGCTTCAGGACATCCATGGGAGGATGATTTCCACCGCCCTTGCCGCCGCGCTTCTCGCTGTCTTTGCCACGACCACCACGGCCTCTTTGGCACGGGTTGAAGTGGGTGCGACGAAGATGAGCGGCAGCGTTATAGTTAGCACCGTATCTTTTGCCATTCCGACAAGCCTTGCAGTTGGCCAGGAATGTCTTGCCAGGAGAGATGTCAACGCAAACCCAAACCTTGCGAACAACGGCATGGACCCGCTCAATGTGTCGACGCAGCTCGTGCTCTCCGTGAAAGCCATCCGGCTGGTCGTTGCACATGTTACAATACGTCTTCGGACGTGGGGGCCGTTGTATCGAGGCCTTGGGAATGGCTGCAACCTCTTTGGCAGTACCATCCGATGATGAAATGCGAATCATCTTGTGCTGCTCAGCCACCTTGGGGGGTGAGCTGCTGTGTGGCTCGGTTTTAGGAGCAATGGGTCGAGTACCCTGAACGATCTGTTCTTGGGTTCTGCGAGCCGCCCTCGATGGCTGGGAGAGAGACGAGCTGTCGCTCTCAACAGACATAGAAGGCCTCATCTCCGTCGCAGTGGACGGAGAAAGTGTAGGAATGGCTGGATGGAAGGATGTGGAGGATGGAGCGGAGCAAGAAAATGACATCGAGCCAGAGGGCTCAGTGAAGGGAAAGGGGACTTCGGGGTTTGGGTGTCGGTGCATAGATGAGAAAGAAGCAGGGAAGGGGACGTTCATGGGGGAGGTGGAGGTGACGAATTCAGAGGGGACGGAAAATGAGAAATTGGAGTCCAGATTCGGTCCCGAGGAATCGAATCTCATCATTCCCAAACCTCCGCACAGAGAGTCCGTAGTGGTACTCCTGCTCATTTCCACGGCAGCCGGCTGGACCGGCTGCTCGACCATGGTGGGGTTAGACATGGCAGCGAAGTTCGTCGCCATCAGGTCAGGCTGGCCCTGATTCAATTGGGGTTCTTGCCGAAGTCCAGACATCGTCGAATCCGCAGAAAGCGCCATAGAAAGTGCCGAGACGTGTCCCTGGCCCTGGAAATCATCCAAGTACTGTTTGGCGTATTCGGAGGGCGTATACTCGTTGACATGGTCAAGGCGGCGCTGCACACGCTGGGGTCCATAGGAGTGTCGAAAGCCCGTTGCAGGGGTGGTCAGCGACGGACGGTGCGCAACCGGTATCTGCTGACTCTGCGAACGGACCATAGCCGTATGCCGGGAGGAGGGCCCAGGACCAGAGTAAGAGACCGAGCTGCCTTTCCGAGAATTCGTTCTTGAGAGGCGTCGAGTAGTCTCAGGAGCCGCTGGCGAAGACGCATGAGACAGTTCGCGCGTCAGATCAACGGTCACTGGAGGTTCCGGAGTCTGCCAAGTGTCAATCCAAGGACTGTTGGCGGGAGATGACAGAAGAGAAGAAGATCATGGAATAGCGCGGGAGGGACAGAATGGGTAAAAACGCAGGTATGGAGGAGAGGCGGGAGCAGAAGACCAAGATAGATCACATACGGTGACTCGTCGTTTCGGTGGAGGAAGACCAGAACCAGGTAGGGTCCGGGGAGTATCCTGTCGTAACCGTTTCCCAGATTTCTCGAGAGCCGCGCCGCCATCTTCAGGAAGACCAGAACCGGGAACCGGGCGGTAACTGGACGAGGCGACAGAGGATATGGAAGAAGAGGCCGTGGTGGTCATGAACTGACTTAACCGCTGACTCCAAAGTTCGTTTCGCTCTGATTCCGGAAGATGGGAGTGTCGATCCAAGAAAGCGTCCCGATACCCAGAGATGGCCCTTGTGAAGAGTTCGTCGTCGGCCATGGTGCCAGCCATAGTGGGTGAAGAAGTCCTCGCTGAGTGCTGCCTCTTCTCACGTAGGATGAACGAGGAGGGAGGTGCTGCTATCAGTATCAAGTGACTTCAGGGGATTGGAGAGGATCTCTAGAGCTGGCGCGAGTTAGTATATGTATGGCAGGGAAAATCCTCTTGGTGACTTGCACCTCAGAGCGACCACGAGAGGGGAAAGACTGACTGGAATATAGAGATAGAGAGTAGTAGAGAAAAGCCCGATAGATACTGAGATCAACGGGGCAGACAGTGAAGTGTAGAAAGAGGAGTACACGGCAGAAGGAAGCAAGGCCGGTACAGATAAGATAGAGGTAAGATAGTATGGGAAGGGAAAGTTGTTGAAGGAGATGAGATGAGATGAGATGAGATGATGAAGAGGAAGGAGGGAGAGAGTAGGTAAGAGAGAGAGACAGATGGGGGAAGGAGATATATGAAGGCGCGGTGGAGTAAGAGAACAATGGGGAGTGCCAGATGGATGTTGACAAGGAAGATGACGATAACGATAAAGAACGAGGAGGCAGATGAGGTGGGAAGAGGTTATCAATTAAATGGAACATCCACCATCCCCACACCCGGGTTGGTCGAATGGTCCGGAGAGGGTCAAGGATGAAACTAAGGTGAGAATGGATTAGGAGCAAAGCGAAAAAAGCAAGAGGAGGGGAGGGGAGGCAGAAAAGAGAAGGGGAGTAAAAATGGGTAAGGTACGAATGGAACGAGCATGAGCGAACAAAAGATCCGTCAGAAGGAGAAGCAGTAGTTGCAGGTTAGTTTAGGGAGTTCATGGCCCATCAAGAGGTTGAAACTGGGCGGGGATGGAAAGATGGAGGGAGGGATTGGAAGCCTCCCAGATGAGTCCAGACCCTCTTGGGATGGCCAGGATCTGTCGCAACTTTTTTTGGGAGGAGTTGAGTTAGGTAGTAAGTTAGTAAGTACAGTAGTAGTAGTATGAATGGGTGTATTATTATTTTTCTCGATTTGGGTTACTGATTTCTTTAGTTCTCATTCGATAGTTTTTGGTTTCCCCATTTTGATCTCCCATTTTGACTTTTTATTTTGCCTTTTTTTTAAAAGGAAAAAAAAAAAAAAATCCTTATTATTTATCTGTGTTTCCTTCTGTCTCCTCATTTCTTTTTTTACTATTTCCCAAGAAGGAAAAGTATCAGGATGAAGAAGAGGGGGAGGGGGAAGTGTGAGCGAACCAAAACCAGAAGAAGTAAAAGAAGTAAGAAAAATAAAATAGAGGGAAAAAAAAAAAAAAAAAAAAAAAAGGAAATAATTATTATTGTTGTAATTTTGGGGGAAAGAGAAGGAGGGAGGAGGGGGAAATCAATTCACCGTCTGGGCCGAAGATGGTGATCAGAGCGCTAGTGCCGAAAAGAGAAGAGACCACTCAACTACTAACCAGTGGCCGTCAGTAATATTATTTTTATTATTCTGGGGGAAATGGGAATGGGAAAGGAAAAGGGAAAAACTGGAAGATGGCTGAAAAGCACACTAAGCACTGTAAGGTAGGAAAAAAGAAGGAGGGAGAGAACACGGCCAACCCACGTCCAGCAGACCACTAATGGTGGTCCTCAGTCAGCAAAGAGAAAAAAGACACACCACCACCACCACCCAAGTCAGGACTAGACCTACCGGGAAAGGTCAAGGGGAGGGTGACACGCTGACTGTTCAACAGAGGCCTGAATGGACCTGGTTGCAACGGGTTAGACACATCGATCGGACGAGTCGCAGTGGACGGACAAACACGGTGTGTGTGCCCCAAAGTGAGGCAGCGAAACGGATGCCATCGTCATCGACCCGGACCAGCAAAAGCACCTGCTGCGCTGGAAGGGCCATGATCAGTCATCCGAGTGGTTATGATGGGTTATGTGCACGGGATTATTATTACTACTACTACTAATTGTTACTACTGTACGGAGTCCTACAATGACCAACTCCCCAGTCTCTCCTATGGAGTCCCAAGCTAGTCTGGTTATTATTATGGGGACTGGCTGCACCAGCCCATTTCTGCTGGACTTGATACGCTGTACCCGGTCTGCTGCAGCGCCTACGGCGGTACATGGGCTTGAAAGAATTCCGGGCCTGCTTCCCAGCAGTGGCTCCGCAAGCCTCAGGTACCTACTGAGTCTAAGGTAGGAATCGTGACTTCAGGTTGAGGTACCTGAGTACCTATGGTAGTCCTCCCACCAGCAGTAGTGGCTTGCTTCGCCGGAGCAATGTACCAACGGTCCGGTTGGTGGCCAGTGGCAGGCCTCCTGCGCCCGTCTGCTCCGTACAAAGCACCCGGGAAGTCTACCAACTTTCCCCCCTCGACTCTACGGCTGCCACGTCGATGTCAGGCTACACCCGTTCGGGCTTTTCTCGTCCCCATACTCCGTACATGCTCCTACACTACCACAGTGCTCGTCACGGCCAACTCTAGTTGGTCTTACTCCTCTGTCAGTTGGTGATGCGCTTGCAGATGACGAGCCAGCCGGAACTCAAGTTGTCCCTTATCGCGGTCGCTTGTTGTCGTATCAGACGCGGCAGCAGAATAACTGAGAGACGTAAGATCTCCTGAACAGTTGAGCACAAACCTCCTCTACGTTGTGTCTGGACACGACACTTTGGAGTCGAGTCTAGATGAGCAAACTCCAAGGGGCGATTGGGTATCAACAGGATTTGTTGTCGACCCCAGGCATCCCATTCTTCGTGGCTCTAGATCTTGCAAAAGACGAAGCCGGTGGTCATAGTATAAAGCAACAACTTAGGCAAGCGGTAGTAACCTGGGTACAGTCCCCGGGCCCAACCCGCGGTACCACGCGGAAGACATCCAGGGTTTAGCCGGCGTTGTCTGCACATGGCCGTTCAGGAATGACACGAGCTGGATCAGGTAATTGGACACGGACTGCTGACAGTCTGCCCACTCTGTGGTCTCTAGGGGTATGGTGGCTATGGAGCGCCGTACCGGAGAGGTGACGAAAATCTTTCGTAAATCCAGCTGCTAGAATATTTCCCGGATCTTCCTCTGGCGCCGTGACCGGACGATCTCAAGACTATCGACGATGGACCGATCATTTGGGGAAGGGGGGGAAGAGTGTGGGGCGGATGAAGATGCCGCCCAATACGCGGAAAGGGACACTACGGGTCACGTGTTACACGTGACTCTCTCCCAATCAGGACTAGACCACTGACAGCTGGGAGAACAGCGCGACTACTACTTAGAGTAAGTACTCTTACTACTGATCGTTCACACACGGTGGGATAGGAAGAACAGTTGGTCCATGGGATCAACTAGCCCATCCTACTACTTACTCAATGAGTTAGTCGAGGAACGCGGTAAGTGACTAAGGGTTGCTGCGGATGGAGTGGTCTATGTGCTGGCGTTTCACCTCCACCCTGCCAACACGATGATAGAATCTAACCAAATCATGATGGCTTAGGAACGCGCTCCCCCTCATGCTCTCACCGAAGGCAAGCGCTTTTGGCGGTCAACCGCTCCTCCACCGTTGTGTTTCAGAGTTCCAGCACCCACCACGAGCCCACTGCAGAGTCACCGCTTTTTTGAGGCCTAAAAAGCGATGACGATACTACGGAGTTGAAGTGACCACTATGGACCGACTACTGCACCGTAGGAGCCCATAGTGTGTCCCCGAACGGGTAAAGCGCCGTTTCTGGAACCGGCTATCGTGTCTGAACATGGCTCGGGCCAATGACCGACGGCGCTCATAGTGTCTCTTCCCGAATGAAGAAAACATAGCCAGGGAAATCAGGGACTAGATACGTGGGATACTCGTGTGCAGAGTTGCTACTCCACCGTTGTCTCCGGCTTAATCTGCGCGGGTGGAGGATTGTTCTAGGAAATCCCCCTCTTGCCGATTCTCGAAGACAGTCGAATCTCCGGCCCTCTCTGGTCGGCAGAACTGAGGACACCGTCGCAGTATGAGCAACAGCGGGGTATTGAGTTGAACCCGTGAGTCATGCACACTGCTCACGCATTCACCACTTCGTCCTCGATCTAGACACTGTATCGAGGGGAAGCGGCTGAGGGAATAATCATTATCTCAACGGACTAAATTCGGTGGCGAACTTGGCTTCTCTACCGTTGTTGTCGGTCTGGAAAGTTGGTACCTCTCGACTGCATCCAAACACCGAGGGCAATTTCGTAGTAGTGAATAACCAACGATCGACCCCACGATCGGTGAGGGAGAAATCGGTTGAAGTCTGAAAATCGCTGTTGCCTTTCAACAGATTAACCAGCTTCGAGCCTAGTATGTCGGCGATGAACTGCGTCATTGCCAGTTCTGCCCCTCCCGACTTCATCCCGCTTCAGTCTTCCCATCCCCACCATTCTTCTTATCGTCCGATACGGACACATTCTTCACCAACTCCCAGGTACTCTGCGAAATACACATCGTTGCTGGCAGGCGAAGCACGATGCGACAGCATGATAATCTAATTGACAAGAATCTGATCGGGTACAGATCGTATTTATTGAACACAGTACTAGTACCACTGACTGATTGGATCTAAGTACCAAGTAGTGATTGCAATCACACCACACCTACAAGTATATATACCAGCTCCTAGTAGTACACCACAGAGCAAGCGACACCAGTTGAAACATCATGATCATAACCATAAAAATTGAAAATTAATATCTACCTGAATGGTACCGAATGAAACTACTAATCATACACAAATCACCAGTAGAGACCCGATGACAGACCATACTGCTAGCATTACTCGGATAACCAACCCCTCATAGCCATCTCACCATCATCATCCCAACATACCACGTGACAACACCTCGATAATGGGTACCAACTCACTAGCTGCTAGCAGTAAGTGACATAGTCAGGTTCGATGATTGGTATAAAGACCAATTAAATCAATAGTAGTAGTCATCCCCATCCACTTAACTAGTACATGACAACAACCATACAAAGTATCTACCAATTTCCCCTCTACAACCAAAAAGGGAATACTATTCCTCGCCCGTCTTCCAAAAAGTGGAGGGCGATAAGTTAGACTAATCATTGACTACCCTACCTTACCAGATATAGCACCAAGTCCGGGAGCAACGGGATTCCAGCAATCTAGTAATTTCAACGCATCCTCGGAGAGTAGTAAGAGTAAGGGTAAGATATGCAATAATGCGACAATTTTGCTCAACCAGTACGGAGTAACGGAAATGACTCGGTTACGGGAAATAAGCAGAGAGAATGCATGGATTGGAAAAGCCAAAGCGATGAATAGAAAGCAACTACCTATAGTACAGTACAACTGTAAGAAGTATATGGAGTCAATGGAGATGATGATCATACGGTCCTCCCTCCTGGCTGGCATCAAATGACAAGTTGATGGACCTAACTAACTAAACTAAACTAAATTGCTAGCTAGCGAGCATTCGCTGCGCTCACAACTTGTTTTCACAGTTCACACCAATGCACTGTGATAAGTCTTAGGCGGACAATTTAGATTTGTTGTAGGATGTAAGGTGGTGAAGCGTGAAGCCAGCTGGGCGTCAATATTCATTGATGCCTGCCTGCTTCTGAGATTATCTTTAGTACGCAGGTACTTTTTCGTACCTTGGCCCCGATCGACTTGGTCGTTGTCTGGAGAAGCGATGATGATGGATGAAAGGGAGGGGAAAGAACAGAAACCGACATGGGGACAAAAATA